TCAGTAATCACCCTGCCCACGCTGCCAGTGCTGCTCTCCCAGTGCTCAGTGGTCACAGGGCAGCCGTGGAGGGAGGGCCAGAGCCTGGAGCTGAAAAATCTGGGAGCAATAGAAAGCATTCCTGAAATTGGGGAAGTGTTTCTGAGTCTGCCTTTATCATTAAGCTATTTTAAAGGGATTGGGTAGTCGAGGGGAGGGGGCAGGGGTGATTTTTTTTTTTTGTTTGCAATTTAGTCTGATCTTGGATTTGCCAAAGCCAGATCTGTTTTGGCAGGCAGTGGCCTGGCAGTGATGCATCTCACATGCTGTCTGAGTTTGAAAGAAAAGAGGGGGTGCAGAATGGGAGAAAAGAAAGAAGAAACAAAGTGACACCAAAGTTTTGACTGGAAACTCGGCCATTCTGGACAAGAGCAACTGCTGAGGAGTTGAACTGTTCCACTTAGTGTGGACCAGCTGAATAACAGCCAAAGTTTTTTTCTGCCCTTTTCAGTTATTCATATCACTCCCACCATAACAGCCCTGAGGAGCTGCATTTTTTGTCTGTGTAAACCCAGAAGACAGTGTGTCTATTGACCCTTCTGCTGTTTCTGGAATGTGTCTCAGAAAATTGTTCTCAGCAAAATATCCTCATTCTTTTCTGTATTGGAGACCAAAATGGCACAAAATATACTTGGTTTTTAAAAATTTCTCCTACACTTCATCGCAAGTTGCATTTCCTATCAAAGGAGGCTTGGGGGAGAAGGTAAATGGAACAATATAATTGAAAGTATTTAATTCTCCAAGAGCCTTCATGTAAAGTGTAGCAATTTGCAAAAATTTTCTTACACTTTCAGGGTTGACAGTGCCCATCATAAAGTGTCCATATTTCCTTTCTCTGTTCAATTTTCCTGTTCAAAGGCATAAAGTATTAGGACTGATTTAATTCAAAACAATATATAAAGCTTTACTAGTGCTGCATGTTTGCAAGGATTATGGCTAAGTTCCCTTGTCTGTCATTCTTTGGTCTCATTCTGCTGTGCACTGATTGCTGAAGTTGCATCTTATTGATGAACTGCAAGTGGTTTCAAGCAGAACTCTCTAACATGAGTTATTTCAAAGGTTTGCAGGGTTAACTTTCTTCTAATTTCTTATTTTAAAAGGGAAATAAATACCCCGATAAATACTTAAGTCAGATTTCAGTGCATCAGTGTCCTACCCTGGCATCTCTGAGCTCCTGGTAGAGTCATTTATCTGAACTAACTCATTGTTATTTGGGAGTCTGCTTTCTGCAACTCAGTTGTTAAGAAGAAAATCTGCAGGAAATGTAGTTAAAATCATCTTGAGAGAACAATGTTTTTGCTCTTCCTACTACCTTAAGAGATAGATGCCACAGTGTGTGTTGACAGCTCATATGGCCATTGAATTTGGTGTTTTTCACCTAAGGTGAGTGTGCTGCTGAGGCCTGATTTTTTTTTTTTTTTTCCTGTGGCTGAAGACAGCCACAAAAATCAACACTTTGCAAGTTAATACTACTCTGCAGTTAGCTACTGTCCTGAATTCTTGCCCATCAAGCAGCAAGGCAGTCTAAACAAAGGGAAAAATATTGGATTTGATTTTATTTAGTGGCACTTCTGCATAGATTCTGAAAGAGAAAGTCACCTATAATAAGCCTCACCTGCTGCAGGTGAGCTGTTACCTGTTTCAGTCTATCAGAGCTGCACTCCTTTCCCTCGAGTGCTCTCTCAGAGCTGTGAAACACTCCCCTGGTGTGGCTGCTCAGCTCTGGTTGCAGGTGCAGGGGAGCCCAAAGCTCCCCTGTGTGCTCCCTGCAAGGCTGCAGCTCCTGGGCTGTGGTTCATTTTGGGGAGCACTTTCTGCATGAGACCAGCACTGACACGTGTGACCTTTTGGTTTTGGTGCTGCCACATGAGTTCAGACACGAGCTGCCTTAACAAACCCAGGCTTTGGGGAGGAAGCAATGCCTATATACACTGTGGACATTTATTTTGGGGCAAAAAGCTGTTACAAAGGTATGCTTAGGGTGGGAGATGTGTGAAATCTGTGCATCTTTTGCAGTGCCAGGCATTTGGAAGCAGCACACTGCTGTTCTCCCCACAAACCCCTCAGGTGTACATACCCTTTTTGCTTTTCTGCAGTGCTGAAAAGTGACCTCAGTCTTTTTTCCTTTGAAGAGGGGAATTTTTGTTGCATTCAGAGTCCCTGGCCCTGACATCTCTTACAACTGAGCAATCTGTCAGCCTGTAGAGGTGGATTGTGTTTCGCATATGGGGCTGGAAACTGAGCTCTTGCTCACTCATCCCTGCCCAGTTAAAGGAGAGGTGTTGACTGAAAGCTGCATCCCAGTATTGTTCTGTATCTGAAGTCATCGTCTGGTTTTCCAGACCCCAATTATTCCAAAGCCTTTCCTCCTGGAAATACTGTTCAGAGCAAATCTTTTAGCATTAACTCTAAGAAGCCCCCAAAAAACCTTCTCTGAAGCTGTTTGCATACACAAGTGAGCAGCAAAGAAGCAAAACTTCATTTTCTGTAAAGCCCAGCTATAAATTACTCCTGAAATAGCTTCTGTGACTCTCTGCAGTTCTGGGCTACTGCATCCATTACTCTGAATGTGAAACTTAACATCATTGACTGGTCTTTATCATTTTGTGCTTCATCAGAGTGCAGGAGTCTCACTATAAGGTAAAATTCTGTTAATACTGGAAGTGATGATGTTAGAGGAAGTGACATACCGAAATGAAGTAATAAAAAATTCTAGATTTTAAAAAATCTATTTATTTTCAGATCCAAATATCTCATTGGAAAGATATTTAAACAGTTTGAAGCTTGCCAAATGCATTAAATGGCCAAGAGAAACAAAGCATCACTAGGGCTCTCATACAAAAAGTTCTGGTTTTGGAATGCACCCAATTTTATTTACTCATCTGCTGCCCCCTCTTATTTGGGGCCAGTTAAGATCATTTTGGAAACTGAGTGTCTACTCTTTTATACATTTAGCTCGGAGTTACTTTGTCATATCCAACCAATGAGTTTGAAAATGAACTCTGATGGCTTTAATGCTTGCTGCATCTGCCTGGAAATGTGTAATAATGGATTTCTTGTTTTTCTGCTTCAACAATAGAGTCAAGGGACAAATTCCTGAGTTGCATTATTTAAAATTATTTTTAAAAAAAGGAAGGGAGAGACAGCTGTATGAGTGGGAGTGGGGCTGGTGTAAAGTCAGCTCAGACAATGGGTTCCTCTTAGGTAGATGAGGAGAATGGGCCTCACAAATGGATATTGATCTGCAGCAGCTGGGACGTGAGGAAGGGGCTGGGAGATGAGCGTGAACCACTCTTACAGCTGCTGCCTTTCCATGGCTGACTTTGTTTTCCTGGTAAATTTGTATTTGTGGCACAAGGATATATTGTTTTCCACTCATATTTAATGTAGCTGCACGTGAGTGTGTGGATGGTAAAGTTTAATAAACTTTATAGGACTTGGGCAGGGAAGTGATTGATGTGGCTTCTTGGAATTTGATTGCAGGAGGTGAATTTTCTGGAATTAGGCACTCATCCTTTGGACAGTTAAAATTCCTGGGAACAGGCAAAGTTGAATATATGTCTTTTATTGGATTCACTTATTTGGTTATAGTCACATTCTTCTCCATTTGATGCTACTGTTTCATCTCCTGTGATGCCCTTAGTGCCCAGTATCTCCTCATTCTGCTTGAATTATTTCTGTAGAAAGAATGTGAAGGGGATCTGTGAAATTCCTACAATCGACTGCAGAAGCAATATCTGAATTGAGGTGAAATAAATTATTAGGTGAGATGTGCAAACTTGACAAATGTGGAGGAAGGCTACTTCTTTACAAATTGAGATTTGAAACCTCCTGACAGAATTTGTTGCCTTCCAGTTACGATTACAAAAACGTTCCATGATTTGGTATTCCATGGATTTCTTGTCAGGAAACTATTGTCTGCTTGGAACAGTTCAAAGAATAACCCTGTTCTGAGCTGGTTTTAATGGGAGCCCACTTAAAATATGCTAAAATTCTTTGTTGTGTTGTGTCCCCTGAAACATGGTTTTTAAAGCAGCATTTCTCTGCCTTGTCTGAAGTAATTATTCAGAAATTCAGCAGCAGAGCTCCAGCCAGGGAGGGGGAGCTTCAGAGTGGGGAAGGCATAGGGAATTTTGGAAGAGAAGAGAAGGAAGAGCTACTGTGTGAAGGCCAAAGGCAAGGAAGGAAAAGGCATCTAAACCAAACAGATGGGAGAGGCAATAAGGGAAGAATATTGGGCAGTGAAACAGATAACAGAAGGCCTTGGGAACAGAACTGTAAGGGGAGGAATCTGAAAACATGAAAGGGTCACTTGGGGACAGATTATTCTAGGGAAAGAAGTGAGATTAATTGCCCAGTGCTCTGCTATGTTGGGTAGCAAAGCAAATCATCTGTGTGGGTAAAAATAGGAATGGAGGCATCTCAGCTGCTGCTCAGGCTCCTCTTTCCTTGTGTGCTTCATGCCAGGGCTGTGTGAAGAGTGTGGAGAAAGGGCTCTGCAGGGCACATAGTTAAGAGGTTTTGTCATGATTATGTTGGCTAAAATGAGACAAAAATGTTGGGTTTTTTCCCACTTCCCTTTCCCCAGAAAACACTGCTCACCAAGAGGGAAGCAGCCCATTAGAGGAAAGCATCAGGTGACACCCATCAGGGCACAGGGGGAGCAAGAAGTGACTCTATGAATGTTCTGGGAAGGGGTCAACTTGTTTTGGTGTTTGATGTGCAGTTCAAACAGAGGTTGCTCATGGAATGCAAAATGGTTCATGAGATAGCACATTGTAACCCCAGAAAGGAGCAGCAGCACTGTCCACACTGCAGCTTGAATGTTTCACACAAGAGGAGTCAACCAAAAGCTGGTGTTCAGAGTCTCATAATCTTCCTGGATAGTAAGATGAGGAGTACCAAAATGCAATTGCTTTCCATGTAGTCTAAATCATAAATTTCTTTTGGTATTTCCTCAGGCAAGACAGCAAGCCCAGCTAAGACATCAAATGGCAGAAGACAGCAAAGCTGAATATTCTTCCACCCTACAGAAGTTCAACAGTGAGCAGCATGAGCATTACTACACACACATACCAAACATCTTCCAGGTAAGGGTCACTGGAAGGGCTCTAGAGTAGCCCATAATCCTGTAACAAGAATATCTTACTCATCATCTCAATTCTATGACCCTGACTTTTAATTTTTGGGGATTTTTTTGGTCATTCTTAGCAAATTTGACATGCAATCTGCTACCCTTAGAGATGGTAGGATAAATTATCCCTTTTTCTTAAACTAGATATAAAGGGCTGAATAACACACCAGGAAGGTGACGTTGAAGTGTCGTGACAGATGAGGACAGCCTTTGGAATCCTCACAATCTTTCTCTGTTCAGCTCCTGTGTCTGTGCAGCTGGGCATGAGGGAGAGCATCACTGGCATTGTTGGGGCAGGAGGCAGCTGGGCATTGTTGCATATGTGAAGTCCAGCAACCCTTTATAACCTGTGTTCAAACCAGGCTGCACAGATGGTTAAATGTGAACCACAAAAATTCTGCAGCAGTGAGTCCAAAGGGTTTTAAGCAAGCTTCTGATTGTGCCTTAGGGTACCTAAGGACAGGCTGCAGAGGAAGAATAAAAAAGCCATCAGATTCATTCTGAGTGAAGTTCTGAGTTTGTGCTTGAATGAATGAATTGAGGTTAATGTAGTAGAACAGAACTTCTAAATGACTGTTCCCTTGTAATGGGTCATGAGCATCAGAAGTGGAAAATCCAACCTTTTCAAGGGAGGACATGTCACATGCTTGTCATCAGATGAGCAGTAGCTGATATTTGAGTGGCAAACACACACTTCTTACCCACTGCTGAAACTTGTGAGCCAAATGGACACCTCCTCTTTCCCTCATGGTAATTCAAACCAATGCTTGAGATAAGGTGTTCCTGGAATCAAGCAAATGCTGGGGCTGAGGAGCTCTCTGATCTGTAGGTGGGCAGGGTCCAGTCCTGCAGATGTGCCCTCTTCCCTGTCAGTGCACCACTGAGCTCCAGGGCTTGCTTTTAGGTGTGGAAATAAGTTGTTTTGTAAAGAATTGATGTTGCTTGTGGATCAGTCAAGGCAAAGGGGATTTTTGACTGCTCCTGCAGCCCAAAGTGAAACAGGCTGCTCCTGTTCATGCCCTTCTGTATCCTGCTATAATTTGTCATAATGGAATTATGCCACATTCAGTTTCCCTCTGTGGTAAAGGAGAGGCCCCTGGAAGAGATGCTGGAGATCCTGGAACTGAATCCACTGAGCAGTGAGGAGCTGTGCTGTGAACAGCACGTGGGTTTTTTTTTTTATTGTGCATGAACACATCAATACATGATGTACTGTGAACAAAACATGATGTACATGACTCCCTAAACACCAAAAATTACCTTCTAGGGAAGAGAAGGGGTGACATCAAGATCTTTGTTTCCTTGAATTCTCTGGAATGAAAATGAGATTGTTCTGAACATGCACAGAAAATGAAATAATTTGTTGCAGAAATTCTTTTAAAAGCCTTAGGAATCATCCTTACAAAAGTCTAAAGCTGGAGTTTGACAAATCAGCATTTTTTAACATAAAAAGTTAATTGAAAAATTTCCAGTAATAGTAAAAGAGATTACTTTAAGAATGACATTTTGATGTGTGAGGGAACAGTATCACTTGGTACCTTCCTGAGAACAGGTGTCCTAGTTTGTTCTTAAAATATATTTAATCCTTAAGTTTTAAAGTAGTTGATGTAGGCTGTAGAGGAAAATTGCATGAAACTGTGAAGTCAATCTTGATGTTTGACCTGAATGAAATGTAATATTTTAGAAAATACAAGAGATGGAGGAAAGAAGAATCGTGAGGATAGGAGAATCCATGAAAACCTTTGCAGAAGTCGACCGCCAAGTGATCCCCATCATTGGGAAGTGTCTGGATGAGATAACAAAGGCTGCAGAATCAGTGGATCACAAGAATGTAAGTGTTGCATTGTTGGTTGTCATATTTAGTATTGGTCTCAAATTCATGGAGACTGAAATGCTGGGCCCAGGCTCAGCACAAGAGCTTTGCAGTCACGGAATTAAACCAAAGAACAGCTTCTTGTCCCAAGCTGCTTTGTCTGAGGCAGGATGTGCTCAGATTATTGCCAAAATCTACTTAACATCCAGAAATGCCTTTCCTGCAATACTTTTTAATTTTTTATTTGTTATTATGGAATATTCTCTCATTTTATTAGGATACTTACTTTTTGAAATATTGCAATTTAAAAGTAGGCATCAGCATGTGTTGTTGGACATAATTTCAGATACTTAATCACCAATTCTTATAAAGGTGGATTCTATGTCTCATAAACAGAAAACTGTCTGTTTCAGAAATGCCTTAATTTCAGTTAGCTTTATAATAATGAAAGTATTTAAAGTATTGGCTACAGGAACAACCACAAAACCTTTCTGTAAAATATTTCTTTGCAGGTTTGAGGTTTGCTGGCAATCTGTAAATGAGCAAATCTTGATGTCTGAACATTATTTTCCTTCACAGGATGCAAAGAAACCTCTCTGATAGAAAAGCTGATAAAGATTTCAGTTGAGCTTCCTGATGTACAGTGACCACAAGGCCAAATGTGTTTTCTGTTTTGTTTGCAAAGTGATCTGCTTCCTTCCTACATGAAGCCACTGTTCTTCCAGCCTTTCTCATGGATCATATTAGTGCTTCAAATGCTGACAGCAAGTGTCTTGCTGCCTGTTTGAATTTCCCACACATGTTTTTCACTGGAATCTTTTCTGAGCTGTTCAGTGCCTGGAGCCATGAACTGGCAGCATAACCCTGAGGCTGAAGTTTTGAAATTAATCCTCTACTCTCTGTTCAGCAGTGATCTCACAGAGAGCAGCATAGGAAACTCAGGGGTCTGAAATCCATTCTCTGGATGGGAAAATGTGGAATTGGGGCAGCAATTCCCATATTAGAACAGCACACTCTACTTGAGGTACAGCTTTTGGTGCTGCATGGTGAAATCATGCTGGGGAGATTCAAATCTCAGCCTACACTCTGCCCAAGTCTTCTTAGCAAAACACACATGGAAATTAAACTGGGTGTTGGAGTCAGGGTGAATTTTATATTCTCTTGCTCACAAACAAGTCCATGATGGCTCATACACAAGTGTGACATTGGAAAATGATGACTTTGAGCATTGATAACTGAATTTACTAGGATCTCCCGTAAACACTGTGCTGACAAAAATGTATTTAACCAAAATAGTTATATCTGAGCAGCTGCAAAGGGTTTAGTGTGTCCTGTCTGGAAATAGTTATCTTCCTAAAGAGTCCATTCTCCTTAAATATCATCAAGGATTTTTTCATCTCTGGAGCAGTCATTTCTAACTGTGTTGATTATAGTGAAAGTGCTGGATTGGGTATTAAACATGCAACAGTGTAAATAGGATTGCTTTATGCCCTCACTGCACTGCAGAGAATTACTGTTAATGCCAATAGATACTGCCTGGACTTAGCAGGGAATACTGGTTTGCTGTTACTGTGTTTCTAAGTCAGTTTTAAATATTTTTTTTTCCATTTCCCTTTTCTTAACCACTTGACCAACACAAAGGTCGTGTGGCAAGTGTGAGCTGTGGTGACTGCCAGGTGAACCTGTGCAGAACCTGATTCAGAGGGCTCTAGCAGCAGATAAAATTAATTTGTTATGGGCTTGGAGTTCCTGTTATGACATTATCTCTGTGATATATGGAGCGTGCTGGTTATTTTTAGCTCCATTGTAGTGGAATGATGTTTTGAATAAATGGAAGGAACACTGTAAAATTCAGAGGGGAAAAAGAGAAGAGCTCCATGCACAGGATAAAATACCAGTGGAGAATTTAACATAACATAGTGTAATCTCTTAGAATTAGAAAATGGTTTGGGTGGGAAGGAACCTTAAAGCCTATCCAGTTCCACCCTCTGCCATGGGCAGGGGCAACTTCCACTACCACAGGCAGCTCCAAGGCCTGTCCAACCTACCCTGGACCACTTCCAAGGATGGGGCATCCACAGCCTCCAGGCTCCTGTAAACAGTCTCTCCATCTTTCCTGTCGGTTCCCCTTAGGTACTGGGAGGCAGCAGCTGAGTTACCCCAAAGCCTTCTCTTTTCCAGGCTGAGCAGTCTCAATTCTCTCAGCTTTTCCCAGTCTTTCCCCCTCTTCTCTAATGCTTCTTCATATCACTTTCATGTCTATCATTAAAAATATCTTCAAGTTTAGATCTCAGGAAGTTTTAATGTCAAACAAGGATGGGATAATGGAAAGTGCTTTTCTACCTCCCTAAAACTCATGTAGGAATTTCATGGTGCCACATGATAGACTGAGGGTCTTAAATCCTTGTTGATCTTCACCATCCCATGAAGACTTGTGCAAAGCTTTTCCTGTTATCTGTGTTTTGCTCAATGGAGCCTGGCCTCTGGATATGTTTATATCCTAGCAGATTTCTCCTGAACAGCGTTTTACCTAGAGCCATTCACAGAACCTGTGAAATGCCTTCAAAGCAACAAGTTCTTTTTATGTAACAGGGCAGTGATGCTTTTCTCTAGAGAATAGTAATATATTTGTGTGCCAATGCATAGCATCTCTAGTGATCTTGGAATACAGCTGTTAGAGTATAACATAATCTCTCTTCCTAAGGAAACAAGTAGATAAATCTATTAGGATATTTTTTCCTGAGTCCATTAGGTTTAAATGCATTTGGCAAGCTGAGGTCTGAATTTGATCTTATGCATGATTAATTTTGTTTGTAGACTTGAGTAGGAAGAATGCTATGGATTGGTTTGGCTTTGATTTGGTGGTTTTTTTTTTTTTTTTTTTCTTTTTCCCTCTGTCCAAAACCGAATCACAAAGCCATTATACACAGTCTACAGCCAGTTTGTGGCTGACTTAGATGCCTCCAAGCAGTGCCAAAAGGGAATTTGGCTTCAGTGGCTCCCACACTAGGGCACAGGGCTGCTGGTGTGACCTTGGACTGACTGCTCAGAAGTTGGGTAAAGCTCATGAAACATTTACAGCCATTTACTGTCACTAAATTCACAACCAACTTGTTGACTTGTGGCAGAGTGATCACACAAGAGCTCTGCTTTATAGGAGTCTTTATTGGGATTTTCCTCTGACTTGCTAACAGCTCTATTACCAGCAAATCTGTACCTTAAATCTTTGTTATGAATCACTTACTGAAGTGTGATTTGCTTTTCTAGTCAGTAAAGTTCATAAGCTCTTACTCCTTTCAGCAGAATGTTGAGAGACTTTCATTGATCCTGGGCTCTGGAAGAGCATTAATTCCCAGGAATGAGCCTGGTCACTCCCAGGGTTGGTCCCACACAGACAGACCTTCCTGTTCTGCCTGAAAGTGCCACCAATCTGATGCCAAGCGTCACCTGAGATGTTTACTCTTGTGTTGGTCTGTCCCATTCCAGGATTCCCAGATGGTAATAGAAGCCTTTAAATCAGGGTTTGAGCCCCCGGGAGATGTCGACTTTGAGGATTTCACGCAGCCCATGAAGAGGACAGTGTCTGAATCCAGCCTTTCCAACTCCAGAGGGGATGGGAAGTCAGAGCCCAAGTTCGGTAGCAAATCCAAGGGCAAGTTATGGCCATTCATCAAGAAAAATAAGGTACTGATTTGCAAACTTGAGCTTGGTGCTAGTATATGTTTTGTCTATAACCTGTGTCTTGTCTAGTAATCTTGGCAAGTTTAGTTTTTTTAAAGAGAATTTTAGATTCAGAAAGTTAATGACTGATGTCTTAATATGGTGTTTTGTTGTAGTCTTTGTTTACTTAAGTTTCTTTATAACTTTAATTATTTTTTTCTTGTATAATTTCATTAATTATGTTGCAGTTTTTAAATTAATTTAACTTAAGTTGTCACGTCTCTGCCATGGTCCATTTCTGTTCCTAACTCGGAGAAGGAGTTGTAAACCACTTACCTAGTGCCATGTGTGCCAACTAACATTGTTACCTGTGGGAAGCTTCAGTGTGGCGTTACTGTTTTGACACTCCTCCAACTCTCCTTGGCTTTCCATTTGCGTTGTCTTTGCAGTCTGTGCACTGGGGTCAGCAGGTGGGTGGCTGGGAGCAGGGAATTGCTGGGATTCACTCTGAAGCACAACTAATGGAGCAGAACTAACTGAGCAGTTGACTGTTTAAAAGACCATATTAACTTATGTACCCATTAAACCTTTTTCATCCCACTGTCATACTTTACACCATAATGCATGGCAGCATTTATCTGGGGTTACCAGGACGTGTCAGGGGGACTGGACTCAAATCAGGTTTCAGTAACACTGATGGAAGCCCAGAATAGCTTTGTTTTTTTGACCTCACTCTTGCTCTGACCCTTTACCAAACCACTTAAATTTGAATTTTGAAAATCTCCATGTTCTCAAGGGGTCATTCCTGTAGTGCTGGTGTGGGAGAGGATTCGCTGTCTGGTGCTTACATCAGTGTAGCCAGAATAAAAACACAAGCAGGACTAACTCCTGAGCAAATTCATAGAGTGATCTGTACAAGTGAAGTGTGATGCACGTTGCTGAGGTATGATTTGGAAGCAGGAAGGAATGTGGTTTGTTGTTTTCCAGATAATAGAAACGCTACTGGGCACTAAGGTACCTTCCTTATCTGATCCATTTAAATTCAGGTATTTGAAAGCTCTATCCATATGCATTATTGCAGCTGTCCACAGAGCAGAACAGGGCAATTTATGGGGATAGTGCTGCATGGAAGAGTCTGCATGAGCTTCCTTCAAAATACCTTTGTGTTACTCTTCTGTTGCATCACTAATACTTTCATTTATCACAACTCTTCATTTAACACAACTCTTAACTACTGCTTTCTCCCCTCTTTTAAACCATGGCCTTTAATATTTAATTATTTAATTGGTTTTTTCTCTGGATTTCAAATATTGGTTTTGATGCTTATTTTCGTTTTGTGTTTTATCTTTTTATTTTGGTTTTTATTCTGTCACTTCTCCATCTCTTATACGTAGCTTATGTCCCTTTTAACATCCCCCCATCAGCCCCCTCCTCCTCCCCCTGCCTCTGCCTCACCCTCTGCTGTTCCCAACGGCCCCCAGTCTCCCAAGCAGCAAAAGGAACCCCTCTCCCATCGCTTCAACGAGTTCATGACCTCCAAACCCAAAATCCACTGCTTCAGGAGCCTAAAGCGCGGGGTAAGTTCTCCTCTGGATACCTCTCTCTCTCTCTTACTCTCTCTCTTTTCTTTCTTGCGCTTTTATTGCACGTTCTGTTATGTAAAAACTTTTGTTTTGTGAATGGTTCCATTGTGTTTTATCATAACATGCAGACAAATCAAGGGTTCCCAACATATGAAGCCATTTGTAGTCAAAACCCCCACAATGAAACCACAAAAAGTAGAGTTCCTGATGGAAATGACCCATCTGGGTGTCTTGGGGGGGAGGAGGGGCTGGATAAAATAAGGAAGAAGGAGCTGAACATTGAGTAATGCTCATGTAAGAAGTCAAAGTCTTTAGTTTTTCTCTCTGCAGGGTGGGTTCAGCTCAATGTCTGTGTCAGAAGGAGATGAGCAAATTAGGAGGGATTCTAGGAGATAATAGTGTGATTGCAGTTGGTAAAAGCTCAGTCTGGAATGATGTGACATTGTCACTGGAGCAGTGGGAACTTTGTTCCAGTCACTCAGCTCGTGGTTCAGGTGCTGCAGTGTTAGTTTGTGTAGGAACTCTTGAGTCTTGACAAAGAAACTGGTGAGAGGAGGAAGGTGAACTGATTCTGGGTAGTAACAAAGCCTTTCCATGGTCCATGTGTGCTTTAAGCCAGAGCTGCCAGCTCAGGGGAGACTGGGACACAATTCCCAGCATCACAATGCACAGTTTAAAATCATATTCTGTGTGCAGAAGCTTTTTTGGTGCAGTATGCAAGCTCCAAATGACAGAGGAGAGCTTCCGAGGGAGCAGGATTTGGGATTCCCCTGCCAGCAGCTGCAGTGCAGTGTCAGTGCTGGTTTAAGCATTGTGTGGTGGAAAGATGCTGAAAGCCTCCATGGCTGATTTGGGGATTCACCTGGGTTTAGGTCACACTGGACCAACACTTTGTGACACATCACCACTGTTCCAAGCTCAGTATCCCTGTTTCCTTTGCTGTTGATAAAGAAGGAAATGTGGCCTGAGGTTTTCCAGGTCAGCTGCTGTTCCTGTTGCTGACAGCAGCTGTGGTTATATTCATGAACCAATGCTGAAGTGTTTGTGTGGAATTAAATCCTCTCATTGGTGGTCTTCATAAGCAGTAAATAAAAAGGTCCCTGAGATAAAATTTGCCATTTTTCAAACAAAAATAAGACTTTATCTTGCCAGAAACTCACACATGGCATGGGTCTACTGAAAATTTGCTGGCACAGCGTGGCTTTGCCTCATAGGTGAAACCCTTAGAATTATTTTCTCCAGTATAAATTACAGGAAGAAGACAAAAGTGTTCAGTATTTTAAATGTTTTTTTTAGAGCAGACACTAACAGTGAGGAAGTGACTACTTAAACCAGCCCAAATTCTGCTCCAGGCACTCATTTAGGTCTGACGACTGGAGCTGTATAAAAGCAGAGATGATTTCCATGGGGAACTTCAGTGGTTGGTTACAAAGAACTGAGAGCAGTGCTGTAAACAATGCACTGTCTCATCTGGTTACAGACAGAACAGTTAAAAATAAAGATGTTTTAAACAGTTTCAGTTCTTTGCTAGGAAATTGCCATTTAATGGGATACTTAGAACGCAAAAAATCCCATTTCTTCCCGTCCTTGTTTCACTGGGGAAGTGGGAAGTTTCTAAGCTGTCCAAAGGCAGGTTCTGTACGTGTCCCTCCTTACCTCAGCTGCAATTTGGCTCAGAGCATCTTTTCTCAGTGGTTTTTCCAGGGGGAACAGAGTTTCAGTTCTGCTTGTGCAGCAGCAGAGCTGAGGATGTGCTGAGTGGTGGCACCACTCCAGGGGTGGCAGCTGGAGCCCTCCTTGTCCTGGGCAGTGCTGGGTCACTTTGGGGTGAAGGCACTGTGGAGGTCAGGGGGTGTGTGGCAGTCTAATGCTCCACAGTGGCATTCAGAGAACAGAATGTTGAAATGAGCATTTCCTACTTGACTTAAAAATACTGGTTTGTAGTTCCATGGGCACTTCACCAGTTTGTATTTCAAATGTACAAATCCCTACTGACTGATTGCTTGGCCATATAAGCAATTATAACTAATTGCTTTTCACAGTTCCTGAAGGAAGGCCATTATTTTATGTATTAAATAGCTAAGAAATCCAAGCACTCCTTAAGAATTCTGCGTGCCATATTGTTTTAAGTCCTTTGTGTGAAAGGCAAAGTAATGAGAACAATGTCCTATAGTCTTCTCTGGAATCCCTCAAATTTCTGCTGACACATTCGTTGAGAATGTGCAAGGAAGGGCTATTGCTAAATCTTCATTTAAACCTTTCACTGTGTTCTTTTGCTATTTCATTTCCTTCCCCTGTCAGCTACCAGGATGTTTGTATGTAAATACTTTTCCTGCCTGACTCATCCTGAGGATTTGGAGTCCAGTGTTCAGATCATCATCTCTTATCCCAGAGGGATGAACTCAGGCCCCTTGGATCATTTAGAGATATGGAGGAGGAGGAGAGGCTGAAAACCTCTGGCAACTTGCTCTGTCTCATTTGGAGACTTGTCAAATTCACATTTTAGAGCTCCTTGGTGATTTGTATTTTACAAATGGTCAGACTAAGAGATCATCAAAGTGCCATATGACTTTCAAAAATAACATCATTCTAACCAGGCAAAAAGAAAATTAAGAACCACCCACAAATCCTTTAAATTTATTAGGTGAAAAAGAAGAACATTTGATCTGTACATCAGGGAAGCAACTTTTTGGAAGGTCGTGCAGGGACCAGCAGGGCAGCACAGTGTAACAGGAGTGGGGCTCTGGATCATTTCATTTGCTCTGAATTGTCTCTGCACTGCTGGGTTTGTTCCTTGGCAGAATTCCACTCCAGATACCTTCAGTGAAGGTGTCCACAAGGTTCTTTAAGTCTTATTTTAGAGTATTCAGCCCAATTGCTAAGCAGGTGCTCCCTGGATTTCTTGATAAAACTGAGCTATCAAATCCTACAAAGCCAGAGAAAAAAAATTACTTCAGAGAAAATGGGGTCACACTCCTTTTTTGCATTGTCTTAAGGAATAAGGAAAAGTAACTGTTTGACATGAGCAAGTCCTGAGACCGTAGCAGGATAAATTCCAGCAGCAGGAATTGCACATTGTAATTGATCCTTGAAACACAACACGGGAATGGATTCCCATACAACTCCTCCATGAAATCTGGGAGATCAGAATGTGTCTGGAGAGGGAGAGTGTTTTAGCAATTTCTTTTAAAATTTTGGTTTATATCTTATGTTGTATTTGGCAAAATTGCTGATGACTGTTAAAACAAATTATATAATTGGCTATGATATGTTCTGTGCCCAGTCTGGTTTTAATTTTGCTTCCAAACCAAAAATCCAATGAATCTTGTTTTCATGGAAGGAAACAGATGCCTGAACAATTCACAACAGATGCAAGGTTAATGTGGAGGAACCAATACCAGCATCAGTGGTCACTGCCAATATGAAATCCTAGTCTGTTAAAAAAAAAATTAAATATTTAGGTGCTGACTCTTGTCAGTGTCTATGGTTTTCTAATCACATTTTTTGTATTTCCCTCAAAGCTTTTTTCTTCTAACCCCAGCAGCAGAAATGTCCATTATAGAGAATACCATGAAACTGTTAGAGCACTTATTATGGATCAGAGCTAGGAGAAGGGGAAAAAACTGTCATACAATTTTGTGTTTTTTTCAAATAGCTGCTTTAAAAGACACTATAAAATTAGTATAGCACTTCAAATCAACTTCATCTCTTTAGGGAAGTTAAAGCCAGAAGAGCACAAAGAAAGAGGAACCAGTTACATAACTATAATTTCATTTATGCTTGCTCTGCTTTTTCTAATTCCATTTTGAGGACAAAGGAAACTCAGTATTCTGCTGGTTGATACTAATTTTGTGTTCTTTAGTTTTATTGCTGTAGCAGCAGTAACATCAGCACCTTTTTTTAAAAGAGCAATCCTCCAAACTAACAACATCCAGGGGTAGAACTTACACCTTTGAATGACTCCGTGTGCTCTGTGCTTGGCTTTCCTCCCTCTCCCCAGAGCCCGGGAAGTGGCTGAGCAGGGAGGATGGTCTGGGAGCTGGGGCAGACATTGCTGCCAGTATCCGAGTTCAATAAAGCACACAAAGGAAATTTTGTGGTTTCCTTTCTAGTGGAAGTTGTTGACTTCATTACAATGTGATTTTATTTCCATTGCACCCGTTGCTGTGTCCCTCCCTCCCTGTCTCCTCTGACACTCCGCACTCCTGTCCCTCGACACCCAGCTCTGAATCTGCCCCACTGATCAGTACTTTGTTGTTCTGTGAGCATGCAGAGGCAGCAAGCAAAGCACCCCTTCTCCAACCTGCTCTGTTCCCTGCCCTGGGAATACTTGTTGGTCCAAAGTTTCTCTCTCTGTGCCAAGACTGGGACTTTTTGGTGGGTGGGATCATTAAATCCACGGTTTGTTCTAGCACCAAGAGAGATATCTTCTGACCTTGGTATTTAAACAAGCATTTAAAAATACCATGTTTTCTGATCTCTCTGAGCATGCTGAACTCTTAATATCCACCTGGCTCCTGGGAGGCTCCCACTCTGCACTTTGAGGGTAGTTAAACACCAAGCTGTCTTTCGCTGTAGAAGCAGTGAACACAGAGGTGCCGCGCTCGTCCCCGGTGTAACCAATGTGTGTTTTCTCTTGCTGACTCACCAGCAGACACAGTCTTTGTATATTCACAAAGAACTCATGAAGAGGACTTTAGGGACACCCACGTGTGCCGTTGAGGCTAGGGAATATGTTGTAAGTCTGAGTATGGTGTGATCAGCCCATACTGTTGCTACACAGTCGCTAACCCCACTTACAACGCCGGCCCGAGTGTGCTGTGGCAATGTGCTTTGTCAGAGAGCCAAGGAAAATTTGGTGGGAGGCAAGTGGCAGCTTACAGTGTGATGTGCAGGAAAGATAATGTCTGCTAGTCCTGGAAATGCTGAAATTGGCACAATTAAAGTAGCTGGACCTGTGAAATTCAAAGTGTTGCAAACAGGTTCTGCACATTTATTTTAAATTATTTGATGAATGCAGTCTTGAGCATCACGAGCCCTGATGGACAGGAATTCTGTGCCTTGGTTGTGAAGCATTCCCTAGAGCCTTTGGAAGCTTCTGTGAGCTGTCTATAATGATGATAGTTCATGGAATCAAGATATGTGACCTCTAAATCTGCTACTTGGACAAAGCAGAGTATGGGGAGATTGTTACAGGGCCACTAAAAAAAAAAAAAAAAAAAAAAAAAAAAAGAAAAGAAAATTACCTCTTGGTTGTATGTCTGGAAGTCCAGTGATTTATTTCAACCCTGTTTTCTGTAAGTGAGGTTAGTGGCCGTGACTGTCCAATAACACATGGACCTGCTGGCTTTCATGCTCTCTCATGTGTTATTGAAGCTTGTGGCTCTTAGACTCTTCATTATTTTCCCTGCAAGACTAAGCTAGGCTTGGTTTAAATTGACAGCTTGAAACACATTTGCTCATTTCAAGGAATTGTAACTTATTTGATCATTCAGGGGGAAAACACCTTTGTTCTCCCAGGAGCTGTGAGCAAGTTTCTAGCTGTGAAACCCAATAGAATGGGCAAAAGTAGTTATGTAGTGTTTAATGCAGATTTATTTTCAATCTGCTTATATTTGTTTATAGAAACTGAATCACTGTCATGTAAAATTACCAATAAATTTCAGAAATGGAAAACTGTGAACATGACTTATTTCAGCATTTCATTGTTTCCAGCCTATGAACTGCTTTATTTATACCGGTTATAACAATCCCTGATGTACTATTTGGAAATGCTATTAATAAGTTCTCTATTTTTGTCATACTTAACAGCAAAAGAATTGGGCATACAGTGTCTGTAATCCCTTTCAAATTTGCTGAATTTGCAGCAAAAGAATAGCCTTGATGCAGATGATTCTCCGCAGTATTTAGTGCCTTTAGAGTGAGTAGTGTTTAGCCACTAGCGCATGTAGCATACATTTGTGCCTTTTTAGAGTGCTTCATAGGTAAATATTTATTCTGCACCATGAGTCTTGTCTGTATCTATGTACAAGAATCTCAATTTGTGCTGATCATGTCTATGCTAAAGTTCACAGGAGTGCTAAAGCAATGATGCAAACACAAGCTGCCTACGCTGAATTTCTTCAGACCATTCTTTCTCCTTCTATGATTACTCTCTCCAATGGATTGGTTTTGTTTGCTTTATTTTTTTAATGGCCTCTTTAGCTCAGAGGGTGAATTTCTTCATGGCACTGTGATTATTATCATGTGTTTATTCCCTAATGGACTGGACTGCAGAGGGAAGTGTCACTGCTGCCTTGTCACTGAAGGATCAGTTCACATGCAGCATTTCACTGTTATTTCAAGACCATTTATTTTCCTTGAATGGCTGGCATGTGTTGCTGTAAAAATCCTGGTAACTAATGGGAATTGTTATTTTGGGGAGGAAAAAAAAAAGTGCATTTCTTAAATCAGCTGCCCATAAGAGGTGTGGGGCCTTTATTTTAAATCCCACCCTAATGAACTGTGTTTTTGCTAGAAATGGAGCATCTGTTTGAAAACACCATTGCCAGGAGCTGTTGGTAGTGCCAGAGAACTTGAATGGAAAGAAGTTCCCAAGTCTGGCACAAATCCTTGCCTGGAGAGAGGCATTTTCCAGCTTTTACCTTCCAGCTGTTGTTAACACGGAGCGTGTGCTTTTATGCACCTCAAGCTTGTTGGGTAGTTGGAGCATTTCACAACTGTCCCTGAAAGCTGGCAGGGCAGCTCAGTGCCCCTTGCTGGAGGAGGAGGAGGAGGCTGGGTGGAGTTTGGATTCTCCTTTTCTATCTGGCTTTAGATCCTGAGCAGCAGCTCACTTGTGCTTGGCACAGAACTGAGCACTGGCAGTCCCCCTATCTCTTGGAAATCCTTCTGAACTGCAGCTGTTCTGTCATTTTGCAATGCTGGAAGAGGCTTTGGGAATTTTGGTGGTGGTGTGCCCAGGCACAGTAGTTCACCTGGGAGTTTCTGGGGCACCTGCCCAGAGCTGTGTGTGCAGGTGAGGCTCCATGTGCTGCTCCATGGGCACACACTGCTTTCAGCCTTGCTTTCCCAGAGCAACTAAAAGATAATATTTGGGCTCTGTCCCAGGAAATGTGGTAACTTCTGAAGAATTAGATCATGTATATCATTTAAGGAGGCTGAATAATGTCTTACCATGCTGTCATAGAACCAATTTGGTGTCAAGAGAATAGATGGGTTTTTTTCCTCCTCCTTGGGCCTGACCTTGTCCGACTGTGGCCAAAGTACGTTTGAGTCTGAGTATTTGTTTCTGAATTGTTCAAGAATGTGAAATGGCTTTCTGTGCCTGCCTGGGCAGCACTCTGCAGTCCACAGGGACAGTCCAGGGGTGTTGTCCTTTGGCTGTAGCCAAGAGCCAGGCATTCCCTGGAGGTCCATGGTGCTGGGTGCTGCTGGAGCTGCTCTCTCCTCTCCACCGAGGTTTGGCTCAGGGCTGACCCCCCCAGAGCCCTTCCATGAGGTGGCTGATGCATTTCAGCACATTTTTGATCTAAAGTGACACCCATGCATTTGCAAGCTGTGAGTTTTTCCCACCTCAGTGCTGTGATGAGAGCTCCCAGTGTTGTTGCTGTAGCTGCTGTCAGTCAGTCCAGGTCCGATCTCACCTGTGCCCAGGTCCACCATTCCCATTCCTGTTTCTGGCCAGGTCATGGCAGCTGCCCAAGCCCATCTTGTGAACTTTTGCACAGATCTGTTAGTGTGACCCATTTTGCCTTCCAACAGCAAGGGGATTGTGTCATTTTATTGTAACATCAGCCTCAAAAAGTTCCTCTTCTACTGATGCATTGTTGTTTTTTCTCTCTCTCCCCCCACCCTGTATCTCTCCAATTTTACATGAAGCTTTCTCTCAAGCTGGTAAGCACATTTACAGCATGCCTGTCCTGTGTTTTAATCACAATTTCCTGTGTGTGTTTTAATGTGCACTGTGCCACATGTGACATGACACTGAAATTAACTGTTAAATTTGTTTCTTCTTTGTGTTTGCTTTTTTTGACATTTATCAGATAAATCTGAATACACAGGTCTGGAGTCTAATAGAGGTGATCAGAATTCAGTCTTCTAATAAGCTGCTAAAAAATTAACTCTAATATATAGTTTAGTTTTCACTTTTATAATCTAGGGCTATGAAAATGTAGAAAAACAATATCAAGCAATTCTGCTATTGTATGAGTATACATTAAAACATTAAAAGAAGGGGGAAAAAATAAAATAAAGGTATCTGTGCTTGCTGGACTTTTTCCAGAGAGCCATGCATGTCTTTCTGTGTAAAGTAGCTGCAAAGTTTGCTTTCTATGTCCAGTATTATTGGAAATCTGCATCATTATCACCTACATTTTACAGCCCTATGTAGTCCTTCAGAATAACCAATAATGACATTAATTAAAGTTCTATAAACCTTAACCAACAAGGTTAACTCAGTCTGATTTGACTTTGCAAATTGAGAGATATGAGTCTGTGTGAATCTTAAATTCCATCTTGGATGCAGCTGGGAAGGTTACTTGAACTATGGTAAGATAAAGATGTTACTGATCTGGAATGGGAAGGGGTGAACAGACCTGGGAAAGCAAATTACGAGCTGAACTCCATGCACAAGGTACTGCTTTGCTTGAGACACTCCACACCTTGCTATGTCCCACAGCTTGGCCACGTTCCTCTGGCCCTGGAGAGCCCCTCAGCAGGAGAATGTGCCTGGTGTGCTGCCCCACCTTGTGCAAACACACGAGGGCCACAGCAGTGATGGCATTTGGGGACCTCAGAGGATCCACAGGGGCACCTCAGCTGTGTCAGCTTCCAAGTTCTCTTATTGCTCACCAGTTTGTGCCTTTGGGTGCTCTTTCCCTTCCCTGTGAGGGTGGGCAGGCCCTGGCACAGAGTGCCCAGAGAAGCTGTGGCTGCCTCTGGATCCCTGCAAGTGTCCAAGGCCAGGTTGGACAGGGCTGGGAGCAACCTGGGATAGTGGGAGGTGTCCCTGCCATGGCAGGGGGTTGGAACAAGATAATCTTTAAGATCCCTTCCAACACACACTGTTCTGGGATTCTACATTTATCTTGTGCTTGGACACATCATTGTGGGCCTCTTCTGCTCATGGCAGCTCATCCAGCTCATCATGGGCCACCAGAGCTGGGCCTGGAGCATCTCTGGCAGTTTTGGGTCCTGCTGCTGCTCTGGCAGCACAGTGACTTTCTTGGGCTCCTTTAGCAAGGTTGCTTCTCACTGAAGACCTGTGGTAAGTCTGAGGAAGTACCTGGAAGTACCTGGAATACGTGCAAACCTTCTTTTGGCTGTTGCCAAGCCTCTGTCCTGGGACTCCACTGCATTTATACCAGATTTCTACCCATTTTCTTGCTCACAGTGCTAGTGTGCTGTGTAGCTGAGTTAAGCCTTTGTATGTAGGAATAAATTCTCCAAAAATGTCTGGCATGGCCTTTCCCTGGGACTTGCAGAAAATGGAAAGGTGGGCAGGGAGGGCTGAGACCCGTTTTCACCTCAGATGGAGAAAAGCAGCTTTTTGTAATCTCCTCTTGGATCCTCACTATGCAAGAGCCAAAACTGAGGCTGAAAAAGCTGATGCTCTCCTCACATGTAGCTTCAGTCCAGAAACTGGTCCTAACAAGGCTCTGTTTTCACACCCCTTCATCTTGGGACAATTTGAATCCTAACTCAATCTCTTTCTGCAAGGAGGCCTTGTGAGCAGCACATCAGAGATAGCACAGCTTTCCCCTCACCTCACTGCTGCAGCATTTCTAAAAACGTAGGCAATGTCCACGACTTGAGAGGCAGCCCAGGTGTGTTTGTGCTTGAGAGCATGGAATGTGCCCAGCATGTGCAAAAACCGCTCTTTCACTCTCCTTTTTGGAGCAGGGGCTCCAGCTTCTCATAGGAAATTCCGGAGCACAGCCTAAAGCTGGAGTGAGGTCACCTACCAGCCTTGGGTGTGCAGCTCCATGCAACTCCTGCCTTGGTCTGAAGCATTGTGAGCCAAGCTGCTGGATTTAGTCCAGCTTAGAACTCTTGAATCAAGTTGAAGAATCAAAAATGAGATACCAAAACGATGCTTTTCCAAATTTCACTCTATCTGTTGCATTCTACTAGTGTACAGCTTTCACTTCTGCTTAGAAGTGACGAGGATATGTCAGAATATGTTATCTAGACTTTCCTGTAAGTGCTTGTTTGTTTACAAAGCTGCCTCCAGATGCTTTGCCTTAAAAAGATGTGTGTGGTTTTAGTGTAGATTATCCATAAAATAGATTGAATCACTCTCATGTCTGTTGTGATGTGGGAGTTGCTGTCAAGCAAAATCTAAATGTTAAAGAATAAATGAAAATAGATTTCTCCTCTACCAGGCACATCAAGTAATGTAACCCTGGTAGAACTCTGTGGGTGAAGTTTCAGAATCAGCATAACTTTCTTAGTAATTTCTCTTAAATTTGCTTTCTCATTGTCTCACAAATGGGGTTTTAAGTGTATTATTGCAGAGGTGATCAAAGCTTCACTAGAAGCACATGCCATCTTTGGCTGACAGTCAGTACAACAGCAGTTTCCCCAGGCCTGCTCTGTGACTTTGGGATGGTCACTCCAGAGGAGGTGACCTGTGTGTGGCTGTCCTCCAGCCCTCTGCCACCCCCAGAGTTTGGTTTTGAACAGCTGCAGGAGAAAGTCACAGAGTCCCAGCACATTCAGTACAGAGCCAAGGTCCAATGAGCAGCTTTGTGGCAGTGTCTCCTCTAAATCCTTCACCTCAGAGAGAAATTTGGTGTTTTAGTAGGACAGATGGCCCAGCCCTGCTCAAGGCTCTCAGTAAACTGATGGACCACTGAATTTGGTCACTCAGCTTTGTGTTTTTACCCTATGTCCCATATTCCCCTTTAGAAATGGGACAGGGAATGAGCAGAAGCCACCACGAGCAAAAGCTGCCCAAATTCAAGCTCATGCACAAGAACCTCACTCCCTTATGGTGCAACTAATCACTATTAATATGTGTTCAGTGTAGCCCACCCAATCTGCCTCCATTGCCTTCTGGCAAGACAAAAATAGGTGTAACTGTGAAGAAAAGAGTGTGGATGTATTTTATGTGTCATCTATCTGCTATATCAAATTGAGGCAATCAAGAGGAGACATAGCAGAAGGCAGAAAAGGGGTTTTCAAGCAGAATCACACAAAGGTAACCACTGTGGTCTTAACTTTTTTTTTCCCCTTTGGTTATGATTCCAAACTGACTGATTCCATGGCTTTGATATAACTTCTGGTTTTTATGTGAGTACAAGTGAGAGAGGAAAAGCTGAGAGACTTTGGCGTGGAATGTGGACCCTGGAAAGTAAGCAGCATGTTTTTTTAAAATTGCAGAGTCCAGTGGGGACTGCTTCTGTTAGCTTGGTGTGTTCAGGAGAGCCCTGACAAAAATGAACTGTGTTGGACCAGCAGTCAGTCAGCAGTGCACAGGAGAAGTGCAACTGTGACATGGGAATAAAAGCCAGGAACTGCTTTTATTGGAATGCTGTTTGTAGCTGAGTGAAAGAAGGCAGGATCAGCTTTCCATGAGAAGGGAACTCTGGTAAAAAAAAAAATTTATACAACTGTAAATAAAAATAATTTCTCATCTTAGCTGTTAAATTCTGGAATTCTCCAGCTGGTCTTGCATTAGCCACTGTTAGGAAAGCAGGATGTTCCTGGGATCATTTTGAGAGCATCCAGATTCCTCACCATTCAGGGACTGGTAACACACTACAAATGAGAGCAATGCTTCAGACCACTGTGATTTTGCACAGGTTTTTGTGAGCTGCTTTCAAAATGCAATCCCAAATGATTCTTTCAGATTTTGATTATTAATTTTTATCCCCTTATTCCCCCACTCTCCATTCCACTCTGTGCAGGGAGCAGGCCCAGAAGACTTCAGCAATCTCCCACCTGAGCAAAGAAGGAAGAAGCTTCAGCAAAAGGTCGATGAACTAAACAGGGACATTCAGAAAGAGATGGATTCAAGGTGAGTCAGACCTCTCCAATGAAAAGTGAAATTGCACTGAGCAGAGCCCCTGTGTGTGATGGATGTGGGTAGATCCCAACAGGAGAGGCTGTTATGAGATGATGGCATCATCCAAAGTCTGATCTGTAGCTCAGATTTCCTGGAAGCAGGAAGATAATGACTCCTGTGCTTCTGTGAATGCTTTTTCTACAAGGCTGCATTTATCATTCTGGTTGAGAATAAGGCTATTTTAGCTACACACTTTTAATTGATTCTGGCAGCCTGTATTTGTGCTTTGTGTTTGTTCACATTCTGTAGTTGCATTAAAGATTCAGTGTGTTTTGTTTGTGAGACACAGAACTTTTCTTCCCTGGAGGATTTCAAGACTGGTCTCTTCCTAAATACTGCTTTGCATTTGTACACATGTGCCTACATTTTGTGTCAGCTTGCTTTCAAGAACCTATTTATTTTGCCTACTAACCCAGAATTTTTCCTTTATGTTTCATATCATGGACAAGAAAAGAAAATGGCATGTGGTTAATGATTTCTCCTTGCTTTGTTTTTTCCCTCTGTGGTAACCTTTTAGGTTTGCCTCTGTGCAGGTTTTTCTTTCTGTTCAGTATTGATTCTGAGGTAACCCAACACTAAAATCAGATATGGAATTGCAGCTGAGTGAAGTTCAAATGAAGATAGTTTATGATGGAGAAAATAGCACCAGCAGTTAAATAAGAGTTAAACAAACAGTAATAATTGTGACTCATATGTTTGCAACATTGTCCCTTAAGGCTTCAGGCACAGAGCAGTCCCACTTCCTTACCACCCACACTTTTTCCCAGTTTCCATACACACAAGGCAAAGGCACAGGATTGCAATTGTCAAGAGTTTGGTGGGAAACTCTAAAGTATAAAGAGTGTTAACTTGAGCCGTGGGACTCTCATTCACCTCTCTCCCACCAGCTAATGCCTAGAGAAAATCTGAATAGTTGTGCCTAAAACCAGCCCACAATTCCATTTTCAGCTCTGAAATGTCCATCAGCAGCTGAGAGAAGCTGCCCTGGGACTTGGCTGGACGCAGGGTCACATTTTGTAGCCTCAAGTCTGTCTGTCTGTCCCTGTGCTGTGGCAAACACAAACCATCTGGATCCAGCTTCCTTTTAAGCAGTGTGAAACAAATAAATATCGTTCAGATTATTTGGGTTGCTAAAGACAAGCTGCAACAGGCAGGGTGAGAATTTCTTTTTTGTCCTCCATTTCTGTTATTGATACATCTCTGTTCCACTTTCTCAACTGGAGGTCAGCCCATGATGGATGATAATGATTCAACTGTTTGTCTGTGCCCTGAAAAGTGGGAAGATATTAGTCGAGAAAGTTGGAGCTGTCATAGATTGCAATGGTTGTGAGATTTATTATTATTGTTTTCCCCAGGGCAGCAAGTAGATACTGTTGTAGTACATAAAAAACCATGTCAGGCTAAAAATCAATATCAAGTATATTCTCACATTGTAGGTAACTCACTGGTTTTTTATCTCTGACAGTGTAAATTCTCTTCTGGCAAATAATTTTACTGTTCTGTTTTAATGGCTGGTTCTATACAGGGCAAAATCCCTGGGTGTTCTCAGTTCCCTTTGTAACAGCTTAGGTTGTACCTCAGTGTGTAGAAGAGGCAGTTTACTAAAGGCATTTACCCCCAGCTGCACTAAATGTGTTTGATTTTTGTTTTGCCCCTCAGAGATGCCTTAACAAAGATGAAAGATGTGTACATCAAGAACCCCCAGATGGGAGATGCAGCCAGCGTGGACCACAGATTGGCAGAGCTTGGGCAGAACATTGAAAAGCTGCGATTAGAAGTTCAGAAATTCGAGGTATGAGAAGAGACATTTCAGTTAAAAGCAGGTCAGCAAATTCTCAGGTCTGAGCAGGGCCTTCCTGGCTTTTCCAGATGTATTGATGCACTTTGGTGTGTGAGGGAAAGGGCTATGTGAGCACTAGCATTAATTGGGGTCTTTGGGCTGATCTGTGTAACACAAACATGCACCATCTCCTGTAGCAGTCAGCCCACAGTTAAATTTGCCACAGAATACAAATTGTGCTTAGTGGAGGTGAAGAGAAAATGTATTGCTCTCTGGACTGCCCAGAGGGCTTCAGATGCTTATTTAATTAATTAAATAGATTGAAGCATCATGTTACAGACGTCTGTGGAAAATCAGAGTGACATAAATGCAAAGCATCATTTAGAGACTAACAGCAAGACAGAAGCCATCAGATGAAATATGTTTTAAGGAATAGTCTGCCATGAACAGGAAGCTGCTTAGTGATATAAAATCTCCAGAATAGAAGGGGAGTGTTTGGAATATATGGAGCCCGTTATAATTACATGAGAAGGATTAGACAGCTGAGAAAAGACTTCACTTTCTACATTATGCTTTGAACATAAACAGATACAGCCCATTAATTTCAGATGTGGTTTTACTATCCATTGCTTTCCTACCCGTTTGAAATCAGTGGCTCTTTCATTCTCCCCAGCTTTTGTTCTTGTGCATTCAGCAGTTGCTGAGTTTCTGGTGTTACTCAGACTGCTCTAAGCAGCCACACATCATTTTACTTGGTTGTGTCTAGAGCAGCATCATCTCCTGCTGGCTGTTATCTGCTTGTCCGTCAGGGTGTTTCCAGGACCCAGGGCCAAAATACAGCTACATTTTCAATAAGTGTGTTTTTTAGCAAGTCAATCCAGAATTTGAAAAAGTGATCACTGCCACTCAAAGGAAAATGTGAACATGCTTACAAACCAGTCTGTGTTCTGTAGCCTGGGTGTCAGGAGTGTCCCTCTGTCTGTCTGTCTGTGGCAGGGCTGGCTGGCGGAGGTGGAGGGGCGGCTGCCGGCGCGGAGCGAGCAGCCCCGGCGCCAGAGCGGGGTCTACGAGGCACAGAACCCGTCAGGAGTGAACAGCTGTGCCCAGGACCGGGAGAGGTACAGTATCTGTACGGGCTGGGCTCAGCAGAGCCTCTGCAGGCACACCCAGGGCTCTGCAGCCTCCCTCAAATCGCCGCTTTCTGACTGTGGAGAGCTGTGTGACAGCCCACTCGCTCACTGCTGTGAGCCAGTGCTTTTTCACGGCTTTTAATGGTAAAAATGAGGGTTCTCACTCTTCTCTAGTCACAGCCAGCTCCAAGCAAGCTCTGGAATCACTGAGCTGCTCCAGCTGGAATTGCTCCCCTTGTCCCAAGTCTGGTGACTGAGTGGCTCTCTGCTGCTGAGGTTGGTTGCTATAGTTGCTGTGTTTTTCCTCTCTTGAGCAGCCCCGATGGCAGTTACACAGAAGAGCAAAGCCAGGAGACTGAGATGAAAGTACCTGCAACAGACTTTGACGATGAGTTTGATGATGAAGAACCACTACCCACCATAGGAACGTGTAAAGCTCTCTATACATTTGAAGGTATCACTCAAACTTTACCCTCATTTCACAGACTGGGATTTTTAAAGTTGATATGCCAAGGGCCAGTGGGATACCTTCATTAAACCTTAAATAGCCCAAGGCAAGTGAGGCTCTGGTGTGATTCTGTAGAAAGGCACCAAGACAGGGATTTTTCTCCTGTTGCACAGGAACTCTACAAGAAAAAGAACCAGAACTCTGCTGTTCAGGGTCACACTTCTGTTTCTTTATGTACACACTGCTGCCTCCTGAATCATAAGCTCCTGTTCTGGCTGCCAGTGGTGCACCAAATGCTGTGTCCACCCGTGGTCTGACGTACTGATTCCTGCTGTGCAGCACAGCCTGAAGTCCCTGTTGCTGTGTGTTTCAGGCCAGAATGAAGGAACAATCTCTGTAGCAGAAGGAGAGATGCTCTATGTAATAGAAGAAGACAAAGGGGACGGCTGGACGCGGATCCGAAGGAACGAAGATGAGGAGGGCTATGTCCCCACGTCCTATGTTGAAGTCTATTTGGACAAAAATGCCAAAGGTGCTATGACCTATATTTAATGCTATTATTATTGTTTTATTTGCCTCCACAGAGATAATCCAAGTCTGAAGCTGCTCTGTGTTGCAGATAGAGCCTTTTAAGAGTCTGTACAATGCCACCAAGTGCATTATTCCATACGTGGACTAATTATGGCTTGTTGTACTGCAAAAATGTGCTTTTCTTGCTCAGAGAAGGGTAGTGTGGGGGACTCCTGAAAGCAGAGGGGAAATGCAGCTTTGCCTGGACAGTATTTGCTCTACTGTCACTGCCATTGCACGCCCAGCTTAGTGCAGGAAGCACAAAGCCCTTTGGGATCGTTCAGGCTCTCCTCAGATACCCAGGTGGCATCTCAGACACATCCACAAGTGAACTGTTTGTCCCAAAGTCACTCGGTGGAACTTTATGGAGGGAATATTTAGACTGCTGGTTTGTGTCTGTGTGGGAGCCTTTCAGAGCCTGTTGTGTTCTGGGGACCTTTTGGATTGAAAACTGGTGGTAATTTAGTTTAGTTGTGTGGAAAGGGAAGGAGAGATCTTACCAAAACCCCTCTACACAGCACTCTGTGATCCTTGATAAATGGGTAAAACATTGAGAAAGCTCCTCTGTTCTTTCTTACCTTGCTACATTTCAGATGTATTTGCTGTTGCAGATGACCAGAACTAATGGTTTAATTTTTGCTTACATGAGATCAATGGAGACATTCAGAGTTTGGACTCCATAAGCTGCTGTTTGTTGCTTTTAATTCCTCCCAAATGTTTTGTGTAAGGAAGCAGTGCTGCAGGGCAGACCTGGCTGGAGTAAATGCCAGTGCTGAACACCTGGTAATGGGATACACTGAGAAATCAAAAGATTTTAGCCCTGTTTCAAATCAGGATGTGAGGTTTCCACTGTTTAAATAATTTGTGTTTATTCAGACACTTAATCCTTCAGATTATTGTGTTTCCTAGACTTGAGAGTTCTTGGTGTGAAACAAGCAGCCTCATCCAAGTCAAAAGCAAACTGAACCATCTTCTTTGGGGTTTATGGGCAGCAGGAAGAGAGGACTAGGACTGTACCCATAAACCAGCACTGAAACTTGAGCAGTTCAGTGCTGGGTTGGGTGTTAATCAGTGCAGTGCCTTGCCTGCTGCAGGTGAAAATCTGGGCCTTGTTTTATTTTGCCATAATACAGCAGTTTTATGTTCCTGTTGGCAAATACATGGTCAGTTGAGATGCAGAAGAATGCAAAAAGTTTAGCCCCCTCTGTTGGTTTTTATTAACCTTTGAAAGATGGATTATCCATTCCCCTTTATATCCAGAACAAGGCTGAAGGATTGGAAATACAGAGTCACAGACTGGTTTGGGTTGGAAGGGACCCTCTCATTCCAGCCCTCTCCCATGGCAGGGACACCTTCCATCAGAGTAAAAACACAAACTGTGCCAGGGGTGAAGTCTGATACAGCTCCAGCCATGTCTGTAGCCACAATGGAGGTTTCTCAGATCATTGAAAGTTTTTCCATTAATTTTGCTGGACTTCAGGAACAAAATCAAATGGATCTGTGAATATCTAATGTATAGGAACAACATTTACCTCTTTTATTTCTCAAGTCTCTGGTTTAAAAGAAAAGCTAAAAGAGAATGCTTCATAGAATGCAGCATAAAGATTTGGAGGAAATGCTGCTGTGTTTAAAAGGTGAACTTTGTTGCAAGCAGCAAATTGATTTTTAAGGTATTGGTAGAATTGACTTGATTCAGTCCTTGAAATAGAAGCAATGACATTCCTGAAAATAACATTGTAAATACTAAAGCAAACTTTGCAAACTTTAGTAATCCTTTCCTCTTTTTGGAAGGAAGGTTGAGCAGCTGGCACCACCAAAGGCTGGTGGCAGAAAGGAGGGAGCTCACAGCAGCCCCTGTGACTGTCCCAGCCCTGGCTCAGCCTTTCCTGCCTGGCCAGGCTGTGTCTGTGCCACGGGCAGCTCAGTGCCACTGCTCAGTGCTCGGTGAGAAGCTGCTCTGTCACTCAGCTGCAGCCTGTGTTGTCAGGGCTCTGCTGCAGAGCTGGGCTGAGCAGGACAGGTAAGTTGTGTGCTCAGCTGCCCTCCTGATCGTGGTCTTAGAGGAGCCAAGCTGGCTCTGTGCCCTGCCAGTCCCTGTGTGAGGGCTCCTGATGACATTTACAGGGGTGCCTCCGGTCAGAGGGTGTTGGCAAACCCTGTCACAAAAAGAACAGTAATGCCTATCTTGTTTTGCCTTTTTTTTTTTTTTTCCAGATGTGCACAAACCACTTCAGAAAATCTCTGAGTAGGTTTGCATAGGCCTGTCCACCCTTTATTCTCCTGATTTGCTGCTACGGTTGTTTTAAGAGCTCTGTTTGAGAAGGTTTTCTTTAGAAGAGATGAATGCACATGTCATATCTCCATCACTGAGAGACTTTGTTAGGTACCAGGCTGGCTCTGAAATGTCACTGCTGACGGAGGTGCTGCCCTGCCTGTGTCCATTTAGTGCAAACAGCACTGCTGTCCTGAATAGAAAGGAGAGCTGCAGGCTCTGCTCCCCTGGGATTCCTGCAGGAAGCTGTTCTGTGCACACCTGGGTGTAGCATCTTGCAGGGCTTTTCTGTACCTGTCTGGTGCTGAGAACTCTCAAACACAGGAACTGGTTGAGCCTTTCAGCTCGAGACTGAGCACCCTGTGTCACTGCCTATGGTACCTCATCATCTGCTTGGGAACAAAACTGTCTTTCACTGAGGGATGTTGTGAAATCGTGTGACACAAAAATCCTGCATGGAGCAACCAGCTCTGTACAAACCCTGCATTGCACCCAGCAGAAGGGCCACGCTCCCTTCCAGCAGAAAGCCTGGATGTTTGTTTGGGTGACATGCAGGAATGGAGGCTGCTTTGGGAGGTTGAACTTCTTGATAAAAATTACTTTAGAGCTGTAGGCTGATGAGCATTTTGGCTCCTGTTCCACTTCACCTCTGATAATATCAGTAATTCCTTATGGACAGCTCTGGCATTCCCAGTGCTGCAGCTCTGCTGTTTGCTGTAACCATCATGCAGAGCTTTGACTTATATAAATCTATAGGTAAAAGTTAACCATGCTGATGCACTTTTTATCTAGGATATATCTGATTATTTAATGCTTGCCAAATTATTTAGGAATTGGTAATTATAAACTGGACTGTGGCTTTTAAAAATCCTTTTGTTAAATATGTGCCCTTAGTTCTCCCACTATAAAAAAAAATGTATATAACATAACTTAAAGACTAAAGTTACTTGAACTTGAATTGTTTTTATCCTTTTATATGTGTATAAATATAAATGGTTTTATAGGCTGTTCTTCTGCTTAACCCAGCTGTTTTGGTAACTGCTCAGTCCCCCTGATGTTGATAAGTGTTTTTGGTTATTCAGCTGCCTGCACCTGGACTTGCATAAGAGCTGCTGTTGTGTGTTAAGGTTTGTTCAATCTGGCCAGTGTGGTTGTCTTGTTTCTATTCTTATTTTTTAAAGAATCATTATCTGTCAGGAATCTCTTTATAGCTTGATGTACCATGGTGTCTTCTTCTAATAAACATTATATTTTCTCATTCCTGTGAGGTTTTGGTTTTTGAGTTTTTTTTAATGACAGTAACTAATAGATGGCAATAATTAGTGGCAAAAATAGTGGCATTTAACTTTCCTAAGGGACAGTAAATGGCCCAGGGCTGCTTCTCACTCTAAGCACAAATGCAATTCTTAAGAAAAATATTTTATTGTGGCTCTTGGAAAACTTCTTTGTGCTGTCATTTGGAAGGATTTGATGGAAGTGGGTGCAGAGGGGGTGAGAAGGTTCCCTTAGTTTCTCAAATACAAGGGAAGTTTGGACTCATGCAGTATTCCCTTGGATACAGCAGTTTGGGCCAAATCACGTCCTGGACTGTCCAGCTTCACTTGGCCAAAGGCAAAACTTGTCCTCAGCCCCCAGTCTGTGGGAGCAGGGATGGCCAGAGGAGGGGTTTGAGGCCTGGGCTGGCTCACTGGCCTGCATATTGCTGGCTTGCCTTGGGAAGGAAAGGCCTCTGTGGTGGAAGGAAAGCTCTGGATCCCTCTGCAAATTCTTTGATTGAATTTCCTGTTGTTGTTCCGTGTCGTTGATGCTCTCTGGAGCTGTCACTTGAACAGATGCAGTGCTGCTTTGCTGACAGAACATGAAAAAGCTGTTTGTTTTCTCAGTGGCACGAAGCAGGTGCTGGCAGGGTCCTGCTCCTGTGCTTTCCTCCCCGAGCACAGCAGAATCCCAGTGATGCTCATCCCAGGCTGGAGGGAAGGGCTGAGGGTGAAGGGTTTCTGTCTGAGTCAGGAGCCTTCCTAAGCCCTGTAACCCAGTAGATGCTTCATTGCTTTATTCCTTTAACCTCCTGCAGGCAGAGCTGCTCTAAAGGGACCCCATTGCCCCCAGCCTCTTTCTAATCCAGTCTCTTTCTTTTTGTCTTTCTTATGTTTTAGATTCCTAAAGGTGTTTGTGCTGGTGCAAGAACCTCGGGGCGAGCTTGTCACAGAAGGAGAAACAAAATGGTCTGTTTACCCTGCAGGCAATTAAAACACACCCATGGAAAGCCAGACTCCCACTCTTGTCTGGAGTTCCCACTTGAAAAATTCAGACCTAAATTCCATCCCAGTACCATTCAGATGCTTGCTCTTTTCCATGGCATGCTACTTGTGGCTTGGATTTCCTTATCAGCCTCTCCCACTCTTCTGCCAGCCTGGCACAGCCCCTCTGTCAAACATAACACACACTTCTCCCAGCCCAGTCCCTCCCAACCTCTGTCAGAGATCTGCTGGCTGCCCTTGGATAGCCAGAGAGTCCCAAGCATGTTCTGGTCTGTCTTCTGTCCCTTGTCCCTCAGTCCATCTGGATGTGCACACTGGTCCATCAGCATTTCACACGGTGCCTTCAGTGCTGAACCTGCAGGTCCTCTCACCAGAGCGTGGGAAGGAGGTGGAAAACCTCCCCTGGGACAGTGTTACAGCAGCTGGACTGGGCTCTCAGTCTGTCACTATTAAATCTGATCCACATGCATCATTCGACATTCTGCCTTCCCCAAAAGGTCACTAATACTTGTCAGCCTTTATTTCTCTTTTTCCAAATCCAGGCTGATGCTCATTCCAGGTATTAAACCCCTCTGACCCTGCTGTTTCCTGAAACCCTTCAAGCTCACGTATGTACTTGTTTTCCTGCTTGTTCTGTCTGCCCCTCCTGTGTCCCTGCTGTTCCTCACACACACACAGACACACACAGACAGTGACATTTTGGTTGGCAGCCCTTGCTGCTGCTCACAGGCCCTGTTTGGCTCTGGTTTCAGCCTGCATGCTCGCCCTGTTGCCTTGCCTGCGCCCACCTTCCTCAGGGTCACGTTATTTTGTGGCTCGTGGTTTAATCTCTCTGCAGTTTTCTTTTGGTTGGTTTGTTTTTCAGCATTTCAGACCTGCCTTCTCTTTTTGCATGACCTCCTGTGCGTTCTCATCACTTCATGTTGGAATAACAGAGGTTTTTTAGATAAATAAAAGAGGAAAGAAAAAAAAAAAAAAAAGAAACTGCACTGTTTCCTTCTCCCATCTTGTCATGGACTGGACCTGGACCCAGCAGCCAGACAGGAATTGTGACCACCCTGCTCTCACATGGTTTGGTTTGAAGCAGAAGCAGGATAAGTGATTCTGCACTTTATCATGTCATGCAGTGGTAAGAGAGCTACAATATCTCCAAAAATCACACAATCTGGACTTCAACTGCCTAACAAAGGGTTAATTTCCTCTCTAAACTTCTACAAACTTCTATATTCTATCTTGGTTTCCCCTGAATTGTTACCATTGCTTGGGTTTTGCAGTCATGGACATATTTGAGGCTTGCAAGAATCAGTTGCCACTAAATAGCTCCTGAGGGCCAAATAAATTCATGGATCCACCCCTTGTTGGGGGAATCTACTGGCTCTTGTCCAACTCCAGCATATTCTGTACAATCCCCACAAGTTGAGAAATGTTACATGGAAGCCACTATGGGCAGTGACCCCAAAATGAAACCTCTCAGGGTTTGTTTGCAGGCAGGTGAGTGTTGTTCTGCTGCCTGCTGGGCTGTCCTGCAGGGTCAGCACATCAAAACACATCCCAGAATCTCAGACTGTCCGTGTTGGGAATGGCCTGGGCTGTCCCCATGAGGGATGAAGTGATTGAAGTGATTTTTGAGCAGGGTTATGTGTGGTGTTCATAGTTCTGTCCCTTTCTCTCCATTGAAGATGCCAACTTTTGTTTTTACAAAGTCCCTTGGTGCTACAGTTATCCTGTAGCTGTTGTGTGATGGTGCTTAAGAGCTGCCAGCATGAACCAGCAGAAGGTTTGTGAATTAAACCCAACCCAAATGTGCTGAGCACAGGCAGCACCAATGCTGGGGCTGTTCTGCTGCAGCACTGGAGGGTCAGAACCCACAAATCACTGCCTCATCAGGGCTGCTGCTGTGGTCACTGAGCTGTTCTGATCAAGAGCAGAACGGGATCCCCTGGTTGGCACCTGTGGCTTTGTGCAAAGGCTTTGTGGTCTCCACCTGCCAGGAGATCTAAAGGGTTGAACAATTAACAGGTGTGCAAAAATATCATTAAAATATTTTTAGCTGCAGTATTTTTATTCTCGTGTCCAATGCACTATTGAATCAGCAGCTAAGAATTCATTTTCACCTATTGTTGTGCCATCTATGTAAAAATTAGATCAAAGTTTGCTTTTCTATATTTAATCTGGGTGGACAGTATATTATTGTCAGCCTCTGTGGAACATTGGAACAATTGCAATGTCTGTGTTTTGAAATTGTGCTGTAGAAGGAGCATTAGCTTTAGCTGACTGATTGATTCCTGAAGTTTTAATAAAAGACCATGTATGGAGTTTTTATAAACTTGGCAAGTAGTTCCCAAAAGCCTGGATCTTAAAACTTATTTAAGAAATAGTCACAGTCATATCTCATAGTCTGCACATGTTTATTCTGCTGCTGTTATTCAGGGTAATGAATAATTTTTGTAGAATTTACCTTTGGCAAACGCTGAAGAACTAAATGTGTGACTGGTTTATAAAAACTCTGCTTGGATTTACTAATCTTGCCCAGCAGCGTGGACTGTACATCCTATGAAATTTCACGATCCCCAGCAAAAGTCTCTAATGCCCTTTCTTAACACCTGTAAATAGAGAAGAAACATATTTACTGATACTCAAAGTTGTGTTTAATGCTGAGTATTTTTCAGAAGTTCATTTAATTTGATGCATATTGTTCTTTGGTTTTTTTGTTTTCCTGCCTGAAATGTCAGAAGACCTAAAAGAAGCCAAATTCTATTTTAACATGATGATGTCGAGCACTTTTTTATTTGTATATGTGTGTGTATGTGTGTTTGAGCACTGATCTCGAGATCTCGGTGGCATCTCAGTGTTGTGATTTCATTGCCAATGTAAAAGGTTCTGGTGTTGCCCATTCATTTCTGGAGACAGAATTCAATCAAATAAAGTGCTTCCATTTGAAAGCGAATATTGACCTTGTAGCAATGAAACAAAGTCATCTGCATATTTAAATAAACATTTAATTCCAGAAATACAGTTTCACTGGAGCCTTTTGATCAGCCAGACAGGAAGAAAAATGGATTTGTTGCTTTTTTTTCCCAACAGAAAAGTTGGTGCCTCTTTGCTGGGGCTCTTGGGGCTGTTGAGCTGCTGCTTCCCACAGATGTGTCCAGTGGAGAGTGGGAATCTGAATTTGCCTGTGGCTGCTGCTTCAGCCACAGAGAAATTCAGACTAAAACTCCCCAGAGCTGCTCTGTAACTCATTGTTCTTCCTGACTGTGGGGTGGATTTGGGCTTTGCTTCCAGCTGTAAAATGCACATGGAACAAGTGGATCAACACATTCCAGTGTGGGGCTGTTCCCAGTTCTCTCCTCAGAAAAGTGAGGACACATTTTCACTTGTGGTACCTGTTGGCTTTGGTTTTGTTTTTTATTTTATATTATTTTCTGCTGGAATTTTCAGGAGTAATAATTTGGCTCTGTCTGTACCTCTGACTGTCCCACAGAGCTGGATCCCATCAGATCACTTTCAGATTTGATTTTATCAAACTTTGACCTTTCCAGCTGGCACTGAAGAGAGAATGAAGTGTTGGGTTGTTTGTGTGTTGTGTTTTTTTAACTTAGTCATGTGAGGAGAAAAAAAATGGGCTGTTGTGGCTGGAGCTGGTGTTGGGAAGGGCAGGTGGTTTGTGCTTTATCAGTGGGAGCCTAAGAGAACTGGAAACCTGGGGGAAAGATTTCATCTAAAGAGAGAGCTGCACCATGGAATGCCTGTGGTGAATGCGCTGGTTCAGCTGGAAGTCTTGGCAGATGTTTTTGATGCTGATTGGTTTTATATGAAAACTCAGGCTGGTGCAAGCCTGGTAAGGAATGGTTTGGGCAGGGATGTGTGGATGTGCACGTGTGTCCAACACAGCAGTGCCTCCCTGCGCCAGGTAATCCAAACACCAGGCACACGTCTGGAACTCTGGCTGAGATGTACAATTCCACTTTGGTGTGCAGGGTTGTGAACAATGTGTGTGTCTCTAGCTGAGAGAAAAGCCCCCAGCTCTTGGCAGCTGCTCCATCACCCCTTGGGCCAGGTCACTGCAAAGAGCCCATCCAAGAGCCAAGATTTGCAGTTTTTCCACTCAGTAGATGACACCTGGTGGTCCTTTCATCTGACAAATAATCTAGAGATTATTTTTGTTTAATACAGTCAAGCTGCTACATTTCTTCAGCAGGATTTCAGTTGTTCTTTGCCAGCACTAATTAACACCCCTGTCAGTTCAGGACAGATCAGGACTGTTTGTGACAGGCTGCTGCTCTTTGGTTTTGGGCAATAATGAATAGGAGGGGGTGTTCCTCTGGCTCTCACTTGGATTTATCTTTCACAGAATCAGCACTGCTGACTTTAAATAGAAAAGGCACAACCAAAGGGGTGAGGGAGAGCTGGGGGCGTAGAGCTGAGCAAAAAGGGAGAAGAAAATGAAATAAGGTTTTTGTATGGAGTGTTTGTGTCACAGTTACAACAGAGCAATGGCTCTGCTCCCAGGAACAGGAGCAGCACACAGGAACTGAACTGAGGGCAGGGAGCAGATAATCTAACACTGAGCTTTGCATGAACAGCTCTTTCTGCTCCCCTTTTTTGACTGGCTCCCAGAGCTGTGTGAGGTGTGCTCAGAAATGCCACGGCTGCCTCCAGTGCAGCTGGAGGAAAGCAAGGCTGCAGTTGGATCTCAGGTGAAATCAGGATGCAGAACTAACCCTCGAGTGCTTGACCAGGCAGGGGTAACCCAGAGCAGAGTCAGGGCTTTGCCAGAGCAGCCCTGCAGCTGTGTGTGGACCCTGAGCAGTCCCTGAGGGCAGTTCTTGGTGTCTCTGGGAAGGTTTGAAGCTCTTCAGTTGCTCAGGTGAGAGATTTGTTTGGAAGATCCAAGTTTGGACAGCTGACTCCAAGCTGCTCAAGAACAAACTGCATGTTCTTATTACCCAGCTCCAGCTCTGCTTCTTCAAACATTTCAGGCTCCAGCTGAGGCTGCATCACTCACTTGGGCAGGGAATTCCTGCTGCTCCAGCCCCTGGGGCTGCTTTGGGAACTGTTAATTCCCAGTGCCAGAGCCTGGTGTTCCCTGGGGAACAGGCTGCTGACTGTTACCAAGGGAGGGGAATGGACCAGCAGGGACATTTGGCCACAAAACAGTGACAGGAAACTCTTGTAGAATCCTGGAACAGCTCAATGAAACTTCAACTCCTTCCCTTGCAAGTTACTTCCAGGATAATAACACTGTCACAGTGAGTAGCACATCCAGGCCCCCAGGCTTTCTGAGGCACTCCCAGCTGCAATGGGGTTAATGGAAGGTGAAGGGAGGTCTGACTGCCCCTGAATGGGCACAGCATGGTTTGGTGGCCTCAGACTCCTCTTGCTGCTGCCCAAGAAGGATCTGTCCCCACACAGCCTCTGTCAGCAGGAAGTTTGGATTTTATTTTACGTGGAATTTTTTTTTTCTTCCTTCCCCACCCTGCTCCCTGGAGCTGTCAGCCCCTCTCACCAGGCAAGGCAGGCCTTGTTGAATGCACATGTATTTATTGTACCACTTTCAGCACAAGGTCTAACACTGAAGCACAGGAGTGTCACTACAGTCTGTACAGCACCCTCTGGAACACAGACAACACAGACATGCAGCCCTGCAGCTCTGCAGCAGATCCCAGGGCTGCTGCACTGGGGAATAAAGACAGCTTGGAACAATGAGAATCTCAACAGTGGCTCATTCTCTGACCTCCCCTAGGCTCTGGCTGGGTCTAAACAAGCATCCCAAGAATGGAATTGTAAAATTAACATGCTGAATCAATTATAGATAATTGACTTGATAAAAAAAAGAAAAAGAAATAAAAAAAAAAAACATGAAGGCCACGTTTTTCTCAAATTCTCCTGTCCTACCCCCTTCTATCTCTAAGTAGAGAAGCAGCCTTTCTCTCCCTCCCCCTTCTTCCCATTTTTTGTGAGGAGCTCAGGAGGTCCCAGCTCCCTGCAGTGTCTGGCACCACTCAGCCAGACTTGGTGCTGTGGCCTCAGCATGAACAGACTTGGGCTCCTCAGGCCCTGGGGGGCAGCTCTGCCTCCCTTAAACTGCACTCAAAGGCTTGCAAAGATTAAACTCTGCCTTGCTGCAAGATGAACAAAAAGCATTTTAAGAATAGCCCTGCTGAGAAAAGTGGAGTTTGGCCTTTTTTGCCCTCATTCCTGTCTCCGCTGCATTGGTGGCAGCAGATCTGGGAGCAAATTGATTCCATGAGCCACTGTACACACAAAGGACATCTGGAATGACCTCAGCACACAGGTGGGGGCTGGTTTGCACAAAGAGCTCCTTCCTAAAAAGCTGCTTCAGCAGCCTGGGCCCTGCTCAGCCAGGCCCCTCCCCAGCCCTGGGTGACCCCTCTGGAGGGTCTCTGTGTGAACAAAGGGGCCCCTCCTGAGCTTCAGCCCCTCAGCTCCTCACCAGCTCAGGGGAGACAGACACAGGCTCATGGCAGGGTCAGCCTGAAGAAGGCTTTGGGAAGGAGGAGCCTTCCAGCTTTGCTGTCCAAAAACGTGCTGAACGTAGGAGATCAGACACAAGGAGAAAATAAAATTCTGCAGGACCATGGAGGTGTGGGTTTGGAAGTGAAAGGAGAAGGGAATAGTTTCTTTCCAACCTTCTTAGTTGACTGCAACTGAATTTGCAAGAATTCGATAAAGAGCAAAACTAGGAAGTTGTGACAGCACCACCAGCACAAAACCACAGGAGACCTCGTGGCTTTACTCAGACTCAAAACCAGGTTTCTCTGGTTCCAACACTGCCTGCTGGAAACATAAATAATATCTTATTATCTTTACATGTTTGAATTAAAAAGTGAAGTGCCAAAAGCAAAACCTGCAAAGGAGCAGAGCTCAGTGCACTGGGGACAAGCTGGGAGTGCTGGTTTGGTGTAAGCAAAGGAAAGGGAGAGAGCTCAGGTCAGAACAACCCTGTGGCTGTGGCTGCAGCCTCTGACCACGGCTTCAGCCAGAGGTGAGGTGCAGAGCTTTGTGCCAGTCTCTCCCAGCAGCACCCCGTGCTCAGAGCCGCATGAAAGGAGGAGGAGGAGGAGGAGGAAGCCTGCCTGCCCCGGGAGTGGTGGGGGAGCTGCACACCTTGAGTCCCAGACAAGGGAGGGTTTGGACCCCTCAGGACTCCCAGCCTCCCGTCCCCCACAGAGGTACCTGTGCCGTCCCTGCCCTGCCCCATCTGCTCAGATCACACTGCTCGTGTCTCTGCTTCAATCTTCTGCTCCCCGTGGAGGTTTTCCAGTTCCTGCACCTGGGCCACGTTCTGCCTGATGGCAATCTCGGGGCCCCCTCCGTACAGGGTGCTTAAATAAACCCAGGTCTCCTCGGAGATCTGCCCGTAGTCAGCACCTGGAAGGAAAACAGCGGTCACCGGATGCAGCACAAGGGAAAGGTCAGGGCACCACAGCCAGGATTTCCCCTCAAACACCTCCCCCCAAAGGCCCATCCCAGGAGGAGGAGACACCCGTGGTCCCTCCACAAAGCCCCTGCAGTGCCACCTCCTGCTGGAAGCACCAGTGTGTTCTCCATTAATCCATGTCCACAAGCACCACATCTACACATCTTTTAAATCCCTCCAGAGGTGGCCTCTTCCAAACCCTGACAGCCTTTTCCATATAGAAATTCTTCCTAATATCCAATCTAAACCTTGCCAGGCACAACCTGAGGCTGTTTTAACTTTGGGAACTGGACCACAACAGATGCTGAGTGAAGACCACATCAAAAGCAACACAAGATCAAAGCTCCAGCACAAAGGGGAATGGTGGAAGGGGCCTGGGGAGCACAAGGCAGCAGCTGGGGGTCTGCAGAACCAGTCACAGCAGCAATCTGGTCACACAGGAGCTGCCACTGGAGAACTGGCTCACTCAGGGCAGGGGCTGGGGTAGAGAACTGTCATCCTCTGCAACACCTCTTGCTCTGTGCCTTCATTATGCACAGCCAGATCCAGTGGAACAGTCTCCTTTAC